AATTTAAAAAATTTATTTTTTGGTATTAATTATAATTTTTGTAACAAAAAAACAAAATATTAAAACCATTCTTGCCAGCGAACATTTTTCTGAGATCTGAGAACAGGAAATGGTCGCTTGATGCCTGATGGAGAATATGGGTGAATGCGGAAACATTTCGAAGCCCAATTTTTATATTTTAACCATTGTTTTCACTGACTTGTAATGTCAGTACATTGTCTTGGCACAAACAGCGCTTTCTTTTTCTCCAAATGCTACCGGTTTTCGTGGTCCTTCAATAACGTTATGGAATAGACCTTTCTTTTTCAAGGTAGTCAATAAAAATTATTATAATACTATTCGAAAGACTGTCCATTAGAACTTTAGAGTGAAATGATGGAACCACGGTTCATTCATTGCCATATATCGATGCAAAACTCGGGTTTATTACGATTTTATCTCTCCAAACATATCTTCGAATCCTCAACTTGTCATTATTTTTGATGAAAAGTGAGCTCGCGCAGCACCGACTTTGCACAGAGCTTTCTCATACCCAAATACTCGCGAATAATACGATGTACACGTTTAGTTGATTTCTTTAGAGTGCCTGCTATTTCTTTCCTTAATTTCAATTTACGGTTATCCAAAATCATTTTTGCGATATTTTGTTGATGATAACACACCAGTTTGGCTTCCGTCGGTAACAACCTCTTTTGGGCGTCCATTGTGTTCATCTTCTTCGGTGCTCATTTCGCCACGTCTAAACTTCGATCGTATAAAAAATTTAAGTTTGGCATTCCAAAAACGATAAAAATTGTGGGTAAAACTAAACATTTTTTTAAAACACCGTCATTTTGTGAATTTTCGGTTTTTTTTTTATCGCAGACCACTGTACGGCATATTTTAGGGTTTCATACACTGAGAAAACGGGAATCGTTTCCGCAGTGTATCACCTTTTTGTTAGCACCATCGAAGATCGGGCGTAACTCGCAAAGTGTTTAATTTTTATCTTCAAATTTTTCCCGAAAGAAATGCAATATAACGCTGGGTGAGAATCTGGACCTGAATCTTAGCTGAAGCAATAAATGTATTGCTGTCTATTGATTGTCTAAGATTTGTTTGACAAATGAAAGCTTCTTACTTCCGACTACTTCATAAAGTTTGTATGTATGTATT